CTGTTAAACAGAGGGTCAGCAGTTCGAATTCACCAGCTGCTCCTTGGAAACCCTATGGGGCAGTTCTGCTCTGTCCTATAGGGTCGCTATGAGTCAGAATCAACTCGACGGCTGCGGGTTTACACGCACACACAGGGGTGTGTGTGTGTGTGTGCGTGTGTGTGTGTGTGTATTCCCCCAAGGTTTCTGTAAGCTGTACATCAAAGCAGAGGATTAAGTGATTTTTTAAAGTGTGTAAACGATGCAATGAAAATAGTCACCATCATAATGAAGTCAAATATTAGAATGACCAACATACAGTTCAACACAGAAAATTAATGCCATAATTAGTAGTGTTATCCTTAAAAGTGAAACTTAACTCTTTGGTGAAACTCTAAAACTGACTAAGGGGAGCTTGATTATTTAGGAGAGTTTTCTTTCACTCATTTCACTAGAAAAGTGAGGTAGCCATAATAGGGACTGGAGGTTAGAGAGGGTGAAAAGATAAATGAGAAAATGGATCTTATAAATCGTTTTATCTCTTTTAATTAAGTGTAACCGTATGCTGTTTTTAGCTTTATATCCTTGGACAAAGTTTCACATTAACATTTTCAGTGTGCATTTTTCTTTTCTTTGTAAAGTCTGTTTTAATCACTTTCAGGTTAATTCCAGGCTGAATTAAGCAAAAATCTCATTTCTTCTTATTCATTATGTTTGTAGGTTTAGGGGTTGGCATTAGGGAGGTAGCTGCGGGAAGTGGTGGTGAAGAGAAATTTATAGCCAGAGGGAAAATTCCACTTAACATGTGACTCAACTGAAGAACAAAGAAATCATACTTGCAAGTAATCTAGGATTCAGTCCAATTAAAATCTTTACTGTTTATCCCCTTTCCATGTTTCAGTAAGATGGGTCTCTCATAAATACGATCATCCAGTTAGACTCAAATGCTGCATGCTGAGACAACTACATCTGTGTTTCTGTCTAACAGTAAATGCTTTCTGCCTTCAAGCAGAAGCTTATTTAGCCTGGCTTATCTAGTGCTGCTGTAGCAACCATCAGTCTCCAGGCAACTGAGGCAGGTTGACCTCTCAGTTGAACTGAGTGCAGAACTACTTCAATTTAGCTGCCTGAGACAACAGTAATGGTGTTGAATGTGAGAAATGTGAAATTTTCTAGGCAATGTGCAAGGAAAGGACACAAAAATATTTAGATGAACTGAGTGTTTAGATAGGATTCTTAAAATTGATATGAACTTAGTAATAAGTAAATCTTCATTTCAGAAAGGCAAAGTTTATTTCTGGTATAACTTTTCACATTTGTTTGTTTTTCTAGACCTTGTTTGTTTTCAAACCATGCAATTCATTGTGCTTAGATAGTCACACCCTAGCCCTTTTAGGGTTTCTTTATAGGTAGTTTAAAATGAAGAGAGCAATGCCATTTAAGATAAATGGGTAAATTAAAATTATCAATATTTAAATATAATTCTAGAAGTCTTTTCATAGTTATATAGCATCGCTATGAATCAGAATGGACAGCAACGTGTTTGGTTTATTTTTTTCATAGTTATTAAGAAAACCGTCACACTAATGAATACTTTAAAAATATTACTCAGAGAATAAGAATGTTAAATTTCAGTAATGTTTTGTTACCCTCATTCTTGCCTTCCCCCAAAAAGCTTAATGAAAATAGTAATTTTTTAGTGGCTGGCCTAGTGCCAGCAGGATAAAAATCTAGGCATCATTCTTGATCTTTCTGGCCTTGGTTTTAAGTAAGATAGACAGGCCTCTTGTTTGCCTTATTTGCTATCTTAAGAATTGTTCCCTGGAAAGTGTTCAGAGAGGTAAGATAGAAAATAGCTAATAGAAATTGATAACTGAGAATTGCTTGATTTGTGCTTTTAATGGAGAAAAAAAAAGGAGATACTTGTAAAATTGTAGGGGAGCAGAATCTGATGCTTAGCAGCCTAAATTTGAGAAGTCAAATAAGAATGTCAAACCTTTTAAAAACCTGTTCGATAGCCCAGTTATATATCCTTCAGTGTTAAATCCTTTTGTTACATTTGATATACTTGTTTTTAGAGTAATTATTCTTTCACAGATATTTGATTTATAGGAAACCTATTTTATTACATATTAGTAGATTGGTAATATAGTTACAATTATAGTTCCATAGCATTATTGGAAGATAGAGCTACTGTCCATGTGATTTTTAATGATGTGCTCTGCCCTTGTTGTACCATGCGTAGAGGTATAGATTAGTTTCTGTAGGTGTGCCATTAATTTTTCGTTTTGCTTTTCAAATCCCCCTGTGCTTCCCAGTTCTACATTCATTCTGCTCTGTCTTAGGGAGGATACAAGTGCTTTCATTTGAAGAATGATTTCTTTAACTGAAGAATTTAAGACTGAGTGTAATGAAAAGTAATTACATTCTATTATATCCTGCATTTTGGGTTTTTCTTTCGACTGCAGTCTTCATGTAGATAATAATAGTTACTTGTCTACTCAGTGTTACTGTTATAAGAAAGGATATGGTTTTAAGAATCATTTAAATAAAGGAACTTCCAGTATTTATTTATGTGATATTTAGTAAATGCAGCTATGCCAATATTGTTAAAAGTACAATTTAGTGATCATGTTTTGCAGATTTCTGTGAAACTTTTACTTCAATCAGCTTTGAATATTTTGCTTTCTGTGAGGATACCTTTGGAGAATGTGTGTGTGTGTGTGTGTGTTGGGGGTGTATTTTCTTAGATGTAGTTGTTCATGTATTTTCAGATGATATCCAGTAATGACATTTGCATTCTGTTTGAGAAAATGGTTTAGTTTCCTAGGCTCAACCTGATTTTGGAGGATATCCGTGTTTATACTTGATCGGTCCAAGTGAAAGCTTCATCGATTTTAAATAATTTCTTAAGGACTTATAATTTTAAGGAAGTTAACATTTTGAGCAAAATAAATTTTTATAAGTGATTTGTAATGTCACATTATTGTATGGTGACAAGGTAAATTAACAGCACAAGGTCACATTTCTAGTAAGTATTAGAAATAAGTTTGGAATCAAGGCAATCTGACTCCTGGGCCAGCTCTCTAGTTCACTAATCATTACCATTATAATGAACCTCCCAGTTATGTTCCTCTTCTGTTAAGAGGTATTTTTTTAAAAAACAGTTAGGAATTTTACTATGTCCATTTGTATGACAGTGCAAAGTAGCAGAAATTTGAGTCAGAAGACCTGGGTTCCAGGAGCTTTGCTACTCACTAATAGTGTCGCTGTGAGTTGGAATTGACTCAGCGGCAATGGGTTTAATGTGACCTTGGGCAGGTCTTTCATTTTTGTGAGTCTCACTTTTTTCATGTGTAAAATGGGGATATTTTAAATACCTGTCTTACCTAATACTGGTAGGTTATGAAGTTCAAATGAGATTATACACTTTATAGACCATAAAGTAATGGATATTACACTGATGGCTCCAATTATTATAGGACATTATTAATTTCAACTGTTACAGAAAAGTTTGATTACCTGTGAGGAAAGAAATTGTACAGAAGCACTTCCTGTACTACAAATAGTATTAAAATTTTCATTTAAATTACCTAAGTCCATACTAATGAATATATATTAGGTTTAGCCATTTTAGGTTCAGTTG